CACTAACACACACACACACTCACTAACACACACACACACATAGAACAAAAGGATAATGGTTCAGCGCTAAATAATCTAAAAGAAACTAAAATAAAGTGTAAAAGCAGCAACCTATAGGAATGAGGTCCCTCAGCAAGCTTCACATGGAATAGGATAGACAAAAATGGGTATATAGGTCGTGCTAAAGGGACAGGGAGGTAAAATAAATGGAATAAATAAATATGATAAAAAAGTCCCAAATAATAGATAAACCTGTGTTGTTCTTAGATGAGTATAAAGTCCAAATGGATATCTGAATCTTCTTATGTTGGGGATGTCTTGATTCGCTTGTCAATATGTAGATACATAAAAGAAATAAAAAAGAACTCCAATAGTGTAGGATGTCGACAAAATTTCCAGATGTGAGTCTGTAAGTAGATAAAGAACTCACCTTGGCATGAGCAAAAAAACTTGCTCAAGTATTCTTAGCGTTCAGTGGCGTCAATCCCCCACTGGTCGGATATAGGTGATGAAGTCCTGAGTAATTCCTCGATATGTGAAAAGATGGGAGACGTATATAGTGCTCACTGAATTACATTAAAAACAAATAAATATATGTATATTAAAAACAATATAAACAAATATGTATATGAGCACCCTCAGGGCACTATAGTTCCCTGAGGGTGCCCCCACCCTCAGGGATCCCCTCCCGCCGGGCTCTGGGGAGAGGAAGGGGTTAAACTTACCTCTTTCTCCAGCGCCGGGTAGGGAACTCTCCTCCTCCTCTCCTCCCTCTTCTTCCGTCACCGGCTGAATGCGCATGCGCGGCAAGAACCACGCACGCATTCAGCCATTTCATAGGAAAGCATTATCAATGAAAATCACAGTGAGAAGCGCGGAAGCCCTCTAGCGGCTCTCAATGAGACAGCCACTGGAGGCTGGATTAACCCTAATGTAAACATAGCAGTTTCTCTGAAACTGCTATGTTTACAGAAAAAAAAGGTTAATCCTAGCTGGACCTGGCACCCAGTCCACTTCATTAAGCTGAAGTGGTCTGGGTGCCTATAGTGGTCCTTTAAAAATTATATGGGGAAGAAGATCCTATTTTATCCAATATTTTATCAGAAAAACCTAGAGTGATATTTAGAGGAGCCCCCTACATGAAACTATTGGTTAAAAACCACATCAAAAAAGACTGCCATATAAAACCAATAGACACAAGGAATGTTTTTTTTTTTTTGATGTGGCATGTGTTTAGCATGCAGAGGCTCAAACAGTAGAAAAAGACATGACCAAGTTCACCAACTCAAAAAAAAGATGAATAATTTACTATAAAAAATCTCATCCCATGCCACTCAAAAAATTTGATCTATTTATTGGAATGACCATGTGGCCTGAAGTATGTAGGCCACACCACACATAATTATTATGATGTTACTATTTATATAGCGCCAACAAATTCCGCAGCTCTTTACAGCGGGTGGACGAACAAACATGTAGTTGTAACTACACAAGTTGGACACACAGGAACAGATGGGTTAAGGGCCCTGCTCAATGAGCTTACATGCTAGATAGAGTGGGGTAAAGTGACACAAAAGGTAAGGATAATATTAGACTAATGACAGTTGCAAGAGAGGAATCAGTCAGGAGCTATTAACAGTTTAATTGATACGCTTTTATGAAGAAGTGGGTTTTTAATGATTTTTTGAAGGAGTGGAGACTTGGTGAGCATCTAACAGAGGAGGTAAGTGAGTTCCACAGGAACGGTGCAGCCCTGGAGAAGTCTTGAAGGCAAGCATCAGAGGTGGGAGTACGGACAGAAGGGTGGAAGAGCACATAAGAATGAATAAACAGGATATGAGGGCCAGAGTGTGTCACACCATTTTAAAATTAAACACAACAGCAATCCCAAGGGTATACAATTTTTAGGTGTTCATAGGGTTTTAGGAAATTGGTGAGAGGGAGATTTTAATAAGATTTTAGGTGAAATAAAATGAAATTAGATGGATATTTAACCTTGGGACTGTGCTGCCCCAAGGTTTAAATATTGATTTTGAATTATGCAATTTCTTATACAATCCTATTTTTAACTAAACATCTCTCACCCAATTTTTTTATAAAATTCACTTTAATTTAATTTTTATATATAATTCTAATACAATTTTAATATAAATTTATAAGGCGTGTGCATGGGAAAATTTCCGGTTTGGCATTCCGAAATTTGGGACTTCGGCAATTCGGGACTTCGGCAATTCGGCACTTCAACACTTCGGAACTTCGGTACTTTAGCACTTCAGATTTTCGGCACTTCGGAAATTCGGCAAATTCAGCACTTCGACACTTCAGAACCTCGGAATTTCGGAACTTCGGCATTTCGGGACTTCAGCACTTTGGGACTTCTCTTGCAGCCGCTTAGTAGATAACTCCCTAATTCCCATGGTATTAGGGAGTTATCTACCAAAAGGCTGAAAGATCTAAATTGGTCTTTCAGCCAAATTTACTAATACTAAGTAAAAAATTATGTCTATTGGCTTGTGGCTGCTCACTGTTAAAAAAAAAAAGAAAAAAAGGTTCCCCCCTTCCGAGCTGCCGCCCGCAACACGCGAGTGGGGACTTTTAAACTAAAGGGGGATGCTCAGGGGGGCCCTAAATACTAATAAGTGGGGGACCTAATGTCCTCCGCCCTGGCCCCCACCCATGAGCGGTGTGTGGGGGCCCTAAATACTAATAAGGGAGGGACCTAATGTCCTCCCCCTAGCCCCCACCCCTGAACGGAGGGTGGAGGCCCTAACAAAAAATGTTACCCCCCCCCAGGTGACGAGGGGCCCCCTACGCGGAACCCTCGCCAAGTGAAGATGGATTATTTTTTATTTATTTATTTTTTTAGTGCGTCGGTTATTATGGATTTTTTATTTGGCCTTTTTTGGGGCTGAAAAAAGATTTTAGAAGAAAAAAAACATTGAATGGTAAGTTTTATTTTTTTTACAGGTACTTAGTTAAAGGTCTCCCCCTCATTATTTTTAGGGTGAGGGGGATAGGTAGGGGGTTAATTTTTTTGGGGGGTGAGGGGGTGACTACGGGTTTGGGGACCCCTAGTCACCTGGGGGGTAACATTTTTATTTAGGGCCCCCACCCGCTGCTCAGGGGTGGGGGCTGGAGGGAGGACAATAGTTCCCCCCATTGGTATTTAGGGCTCCCACCCACCGCTCAGTAGTGGGAGCCAGGGGGGAGGACATTAGGTCCCCCCTTATTAGTATTTAGGGCCCCCACCCACCGTTCAGGGGTGGGGGCCAGGGTGGAGGACCTTAGGTCCCCATTATTAGTATTTAGGGCCCCCATCCGCCGCTCAGGGGTGGGGGACAGGGGGGAGGACATTAGGTCCCCCCTTATTTCAATTTAGGGCCCTCACCTCCAGCCCTTTAAACAAGTTTTAAAATATGTATGGGCCAACCAGTGGCTGTAAACAACAAAGTTGTACTGGTTACATTCATGTTTACACACTCTAGTGAACAGGACCTTCATGTAGTGTGTCCTTTTTAAAAAAAATCATACAGCATCCTTTCATGTGCTTTTCAGATGTCATATTGTGAATTACCAATTTTTGTGTAGCCTGATTTAAAAAAAAAAAAAGTGAAATATAAGAGTTATTGTGATCGCTTTATATACAGAAGCATTAATATACATTTCTATATTGTGTAAAGACACAACTACAAAGTTAAAAACCAAACACCAAAACAACGTGCCAGACAATCTACCTGTGCATGGCTAGTGTGATACAATAAGTCTACATTTCAAAAATGCAATAACCCACAGAAGATGGGCGAGAATTTTTTTTGCAAATGGAACTTTGTTTAGAATTTACTACATCGGTCACTTGTAATATTGTTTCACACCTACAACACTTGTTACACAGATCTAAGTGATAGAAAACAGATTGATATTTTCTACACTAGAAACTACCAGATAACAAGCTGCTATATTTAAACCAGTGATCAATAGCTAAGAGGTACTTCAACAATATTGTAATTCTGGGGCAATACCCTCACAAGTCAAACTGAGAGGTCAGTTTATAGGGAAAACTGTTGCCTGGATACAATTCTAAAACAATTTCCATATGTCCTTTGCAGACTTTACATGCTGGGAAAACAAAAGTGCCAACGGCTGTGGCTTTCTGCAGTGTGCATACCGGCAAGGAGGGCAGGGTTGAGGAATGGGTGGAAGATGATGTGTAGGATGATGAGATCCTAGACCCCACATGGAATCAAGATCATGCGATTGACGTGTGCAGTTTGGAGGAAGAGGCGCTGGTCGCACAGAGGCACCAGCACAGCATGAGAGGGAGCAGGGTACAAAAGTGGAGCAGCCGTTCCCTAATGCTCGTCGGCATGTATTAGCTTGAGAATTACCAGTTATCCAAGTAATACATGTAGCGATCAAAGGATCCATAATAGAGTTGAGCGAACCAGATTTAACAATCCATTCGTAGTTTCACAGTGAGGTGGGCAATCCGGTGACCAGGACCCTGACACTGTCTGGGCAGCAGTCGGACAACCGGGACCCAGTATGCCTGATGTTGAAGTTAGGAGTCACAGTGTGCAATGAATTAGCAGGGTCTGGTGCAGGGTAACCGCACGCCCTCTGGTGTTGAGCACCAGCGTTTGTGTGGCCACATACCAGGACCTTGATGCAGCTTCAGTAAAAAGAGTACTTGATAACAGAAGCCATCACCAGACTGATCCACAACTTGGAACAGGATGTGACATTCACTGTAGCGGTTGTGCGCGCTTTTAGCGTTCTCACCCTGCTGCTGCTCACCTGTCTGTGCTGCAGCATAACTTCGACCTTCCCGCTCACCGCCTCATGAGACTGTGCGAGCAGCAGCAGGCGATAATGGAGTTTCAGCTGCAGCACGCACGGGTCAGTGGCTCTGCACCAGACTTCCCTCCAATTGAGCAGATTTAAAGGATTTCAAGTGGACTCATTACAATTACAGGGCCTCTAAAGAGTCCTGTATTGCTATTTGTTGTCACTACCTTCCTGTGTTGGGAGTGGGTCATTTGCTCGCCTGCTGCCTTCCTTGCATGTGGTAACCGTTTCTCAGGGTCCCTGTATGGAATGTAACCCTGATTCCCCGTTACCCGTGGTCACCATGGTAGGCGCAGAAACTGGCATAGAAAGTTGATATGGATGACATCCGCATGCAAAGTCGCCGCCACAGGGATGTGCGATTTGCCCGAGGTTCTCTAGAGTCCACAGAGTTCCTGCACAACTATAATGTCAACAGCTACTCTGCTGAACAGAGTTGTCGTTTTTTTATGTCCCAATATTTTGGGGGCTACCCCAATAAAAAAATAAAATAAAAAAATATATATATATATACAGTGTTGGCTACCTCATTCTCCTCCTCCACCGCTGCTTCCACCTACACCGCCACGGTCATCGCCTCCTCAACCTATGGGTCACTTAGTATAAACTATGTACACATTAGCAGAGGCTTGTGAAGGCCTTTTCTCCATGCATCAGGAGTTGAGCATTTCTCTATGCATCAGGACTTCAAGAAATGCAAGGCAGGCCGCAAATATTTCTTTTGTTGTATGTCCCAATATTTTGTGGGCTACCACAATTAAAAAAAAAATACATAAATAATAGTGTTGGCTACCTCATCCTCCTCCACCACCACCACCACTATGGTCACCACCTCCTCAACCTATGGGTCACTTAGTATAAACTATGTACACATTAGCAGAGGCTTGTGAAGGCCTTTTCTCCATGCATCAGGAGTTGAGCATTTCTCCATGCAGCAGGACTGCACAGCAGGCCGCAAATGTTTCTTTTGTTGTATGTCCCAATATTTTGTTCTTTTTGATTTATGTTCTTCCAAACCTAAAATCAAAGATTCCATCTAGTGCTATTTTATGGCTCAGCGGTATTTTAAATTTTTATGTTATTTGAAGTGATTTCCCTATCCACATTTGTTTGCAGGGCACTTGTCCTACTCTTACCCCCATTTTACTTGCTTTTGCAGCTCTCTAGCTCTTTCCAGGAGGTTTTTAGAGGCATTTTTGTGGCCAAAAGTTTGGGTCGCCATTGACTTCAATGGGGTTCGGGGTCAAGTTCAAGCCCGAACCCGGACTTTTTTTCAAAATTCGGCCGAACCCGCCGGACCCGAACATCCAGGTGTCCGCTCAACTCTAAATATAACTATAACTTTAGCATTTAGACACTTTTTTAATGGTTGTAATGATGGTGTAGACTTTTCCACACAGTATCATTTAGTGTCATTCAGACAATACTCGACCTTATAGCAAACAAAAAAAAATAATAAAGTCACCTAAGTTGCAGTTATAAAAGTGAAAATTACAAATAAGTGAAATGATATTTACCCATTCATGTTCCAAAAGGTAGGTATTTTTCATCCTTAAATATACAAAGCCAAATAAGATTTATATCTACAGAAATAAAGAACACAAAATACAACTCATAGACTAGTATTGTATAAACACCTTCTATGTATTAAATTGAAGGTCAGACTCACAACATTAGTGTTAAGTCAGACCCATCAATATAGTATAGGTGGCAAAAGTTGCTTGAGTATGCAGATCAGGTCCGTCTATAATATTAATAGGGCAAAACATTTTCTTGGGCCCCCTGGATCTTGCACCTCCCACTAAGCACACACACACAATCATGCCTTTCACCCCAACACAGTGGAACGATTCAAGACATACTTAGACAGACATATACATTGACAGACATACTGACACATACACACAGTCAGACATTTTAACACACATATATTCACTGACAGACATACTGATACATTCACAGATACATACTGACATACACTGACACACAAATATATACTGACTGACATTGCCACACATTCAGGCATTTTAACACAGACACATACAGACAAACTGACACACACACACACACAGAGACATTGACAGACAGACATGCTGACACACACAGACACATACACTGACACACACACAAACATGCTGACATACACACACACTGACAGACAGACAAGCTGACACACACAGACACTGCCCCATGCTAAAAATGACCCTGATGCAGATGTTCAAGGGCACATGTGGAGAAAGAGTGCCACAAACATAGTGCAACACTGTCATTTAACATTTTCAATGTTTTTAATATGTTACACTTACAAAAAAAGACATTAATAAAATGCTCATCAATCTAGTCCTGAAGTCCCAGCTCCAAAAGGTCTGGTACAAAAGGAGATGACTCTGGAAGGAATCCTTAGGTCCACTGTTTAAATGAATGCAAATGAAAGAAATATAATAATAAAAGTGAACTTATTGACTAATATAAAATAGTCAATAAAATAAGGGATAATAGAACTACATGTTTTTTCTTGGTGACAAGACTTCCTCAGGCGCAAGTTAAATGGCAGTGGTTACTGTCACAGTGATGCATTCCAAATGCTCCTATGTGCCCTTTATAAGTCTCTCATTTCCTTGGTGAATCACCTTCAGCCAATCCACTATGGTGATACTGTTTGCAATCAAGTTAGGTAATTGATTTCTGGAAATCATTTCCTTATTAGGAGTTCTGGGTCTGTGTTTTTCCTGGAATGCACATGCGTTCCACCATCTTCATGGAAAACGCATGTGTTCTACCACCATTGTGGGTATCAGCTTGTGTTTCTCTTGAACCGCAAATGCAATCCAGCAGCTCTCTGCTAAGTCCCTGTACACCAAGCTTGTCAAAGGTTTAAGTTTATTTGGGCCGCAAAAAAACCCCGTAAATTTTCATAGAAAAGTAGGCTTATTTTAAAAAGTACAGTATAACCCCCCCAGCACCCCCTCTACTAAATCCCAACCCCCTCTCTACTAAACCACAGAACCCCCCTCTACCACCCTATGCCAAATTTGATCCTCCCGCTGACACATACACACATATTCACTGAGACACACACATACAGACACACTGACACACACATACTCACTGACAGACACACACACACACACACATACTTGCTGACAGACACACACACTCACTGACAGACACACACACATACTCACTGACAGACACACGCACACAGACACACACACATACTCACTGACAGAGACACACATATGCACAGATACACACAATACTCACTGACAGAGACACACATATACACATACTAATTTAAAAAGAGAGTTTTAGGCGCTCACTAACAAAACCAAGAAGTATATAAGGCAGCAGTGAACCAGCAGGACTTCCCAAAACCTGCTATATGGTAAACAGAAATGTGAAAGTGAAATGGTCATATCATACATACAAATATATATATATATAGATCTCAGGTAGTCCAGCATGAAACAAAACCTCAAAGAGAAAAAAAATATAATCGGATAATAATGCAATATGCTTAAATATAAAAAGTGGTGTGATCTAAAACAAACTTAATTTTAGATAGAAGGCAAACTCACACTTTGCAGAGCTACTAAGAGCTCTGCTGAATAACGCCTGGACGGTACAATCCCCGTCTAAGGATCTGTGGATGGTCAGGGGTCCAAAACTCAGCAACCATGTATATGGGAGAGAGAAAGAAACAAGATTCGCAAACCAATGGTGCAGTATTAAAAACCAAAATTTAAAGAAGAAATGTAGGTATCCAGAGCAATAACTTTCTCTGGTGATGATGGCTTGTGGTGGTATGATCCCCACCAAAGGATGTACAGATATGTCAGGAAACCAGCAGCACCAAAAAGCCAAAGGATTAGATGAAAAAAGATTATACTTTATTAAACAAAAAATATATATAAAAAATATATATTAAAACATATAAGCAGCTTCTTGTCCTTCACTTAACGTGTTTCGCCCGGGTTTGGGCTTTATCAAAAGTGTAGGTGTCCTTAGCAAGTCTCCCAGTTTATATAGGAGGTATTAATCCATAGATGTCGATCAGATGTGGTGCTGTTCTTCCTGTTTCCTGTTGGTCGCGGGTGTCGACTGGAAATGACGCGCCGCGACCACAAATGCATGATGGGAGATGTAGTTCACATGTGTGTTCATGATGATAGTGGTAACCAATCGCGGCCGTCAACCGGAAACCGGAAGTGACACACCGCGGACAGCAGTGATTGCTGGGACATGTATGCTCATAATGGTAGTAGGAACCAATCACGGCCGCCAACCGGAAACCGGAAGTGACATGACGCAAACAGTAGTGATTGCTGGGACATGTAGTTCATTGTAATAGCCATATTTGGATAAAAGATTAAAAAGGCATAGACATAGTAAGATTTGTTTCCATTCAATGCCAAAACGATATATAACAGAAACACATGGCATAATAATTAAATAAAAAGTTGTTGAGAGTATTAGAGCTCTTCTGATATCGCGTGAAATTGTTGGTAAGTTGCTTTTTTAGATTAGGTGCCCCTCTAAATACCACTTTCGGCTTATCTGGAATTATGGTTCCTAGTATTGTGTCTTCTTTTAATAGGTCAATAGCCAATTTTTATTGATAATCTTTCTAATTTGTTTATTTTTGTTGTTATAATCTAGAACTATTGGTAATGTAAATTCATTATCTCCATTTCTTGTCTTATTTGGAACATTATATTTAATATTTCCCTATCCATATTTATTTTCTCTATGGTTTCTTCTATACTTTTTTTGTCATATCCTTTTTCAATTAACTTTTCTTTCATTTCTTTCGCCTGGTTATTAAAAACTTCTTTATCTGAACAATTCCTTTTCAATCTTAGAATTTGGCTTTTCGGAATGCTGTTCAGCCTGCTTCTATAATGACAACTATTTGTCTCAATAAAATTGTTGACATGGACTTTGTTTAAATGCGTTTTAGTGCATAATAAATTATTATTAATATATATATCCAAATGTAAAAAACATTAGTTTGACTAAAATCATCTTTTAAAATGATGCCATCATCGTTTTTATTTAAAAACTCTATAAATAATTTGGCTGTTTGTAGTGGACCATTCCATATGAATAAAAGATCACACACATATTCACTGACAGACAAACACACACACACTGACAGACAGACACACTGACAGACAGAAACACACAGACACATTCACACACACTAAAAGACACACACACACACTCACAGACAGACACACACACACACTCACTGACAGACACACACATACTCACTGACAGACACACACACTGACAGACCCACACACACACATACTCACAGACAGACACATACTGACAGACACACACACACACACACATACTCACTAACAGACACACACACATACTCACTGACAGACACATACATACAGACACACACA